GGGGAGTGCTTTTGGTAAAAAAAAAAAAAAACAGTTTTGGCCTCTTGAGAAGCTTGGTTAAACAGGCTATTAGTCTGGCTGGATTTGTTTTGATATGAATAGTCGAGCTCGTGACATGCTAAAATTACCACTCAAGAGCAATATCTAGTTAATTATGTGTAATAGATAATTCATTGTATAAGGTTAAAACTCCTCTCTTCTGTTGGCATGGAATAAGGCACGTATTTGTCAACTTGTTAACACACAAAAGCACAGAAAGTCCAAGTTTCTTCCTCAACTACGTATCAAAAATAAAAAACTCATCGATTAGATAACAGTGAGTGAGTCGCATGGGCTCCTCCAAATACCTTATGCAAGAACACTAACCACAGGCTTTTGACGTGATGCATGGATGTTGTACGCAGTACGCACAAGTACATCACAATATACTTTAAGCTAATTCCCCAATAAAGTTATCTTTTGTTGTTTATAGACAAGAACTTTGTTGTACACTATTCGAACTCCTGTATTTTCTGAAAGTTGCACGCTTCGGAAAGCTTATCATTAAACAATTCATAACTGTAAGGTAGAGAGGTAAACACATAAAGTAAAGCTTACACGACATCTATGTTGCGCAGAGAAATCTAACCACATAAGGCGAACAAGTTTAACATCTGTCAATGGGCCATTTAACTCTTCCTTTTGGAAAGGAGATGATAAAGACTGAGATTCTGCATCGGAATATCTTGAAGAAGCATCAAGCTTGTAGAATTGCTTTGCATTTTGGGCAAAAATATCATTGACAGCTACAAGAGCTTCTGTAATTGAAAGATTACCATCGATGCACGCATCCCATAGAACTTTGAACACCATTTCACGTGCTTTCTTCGCACCTACAGAGAGAACCAAGTCAAGATTATAGTTATTACAAAGTACAGAGCAGATAAAATAGGAATAAATTACTTAACTAACGTGCTATTCAAGCTGGATGTTTATTGTTTGGCAATGATTTTCTTTTCTGCAAAGATTCTAAACGAACTATATGCTTGATCAAAGTGAAAAATTGCCACCACACCCCATGAAGCAACATCCTCATTTATCTTACTATTTAGCACATTGACTAATACTAGTACAAATTCAAACTTGAAAGGCATAAAACTATCCACTAGGAAGCATGGAAAATGGACATGTGGAAAGGATAAGCTAGAGGAAAAATGTTGGGTAAGCAACACCAGAATAAATTATGAGGTCAAAAGCATATCAAACATGTATCCTCTATTGTCCAAGCTCCAACTAGAGTTTTTTGGACAATAACTGTGCTACAAGGACATGACATCCTGTTATTACAAGTGTTTGTGCTTCTCAGCTTTCCAGTCATATAAAAAGGACACTTAATATTACCAGCAGAAGCAAAACTTTTTCGTATTATCTTTAGAGAAAGCAACATGTACAAACTTACCATTTCATTATCCCATTAATAAAGATAAGAACATCTGAGGACATACCTAAATAAAATCTTTCAGCAAATGCGATGCCACCCGTGTTGACCATGACCTGATGATATTTAAACATTACAGGGGGAATGTTCACTGTTTAAATGGTGCAGTAATTAAAGTGATGAAGAAGTAGTCAATATAAGATTTTGGAAATAGGCTGAAGTGAAAAGATGGGTTATTAGGACTTCGGTAAATAATTTGAGCCAAGACTTGGTCATAGTTTTATGCTTTGGTAAATAATTTGAGCAAGACTTGGTCATAATTTTATGCTTTTCTAAGTACATGAATAACCTTATTCATTGGAGCGAGCTCTAGAATTTCTTTCATTGAGGATACCATCCCTTGGAAGCTAAGTTTAGGTATCGCCAACCCAAAATCAAGATAGACCTGTAATATATCAGAAGTTTACGCTGTTAGGGAGACAAACAAACATACAATCCTCATCATATGTATGTGGAGAACTCTCCAATGTGGCAGGTTACACCAAATACTCCAATTAAAAGTTGTGTCTTATCATCAGAGATACATGTTATTAATAGTTTTAGATAGAGAAGAACATACTTGAGGGTACACGGAAGCAAGATATGAAGCTTGCTTTATGAAGGGTAAAGATGCATGTAAAAGCACTAATCGATTCTTAGTGAATCTCTTATCCTCGAGAAGATTGCGAAGATTAAGGGGATTGGCTGGCCTCAGATCCAAATCCTTGTCCCCAAAACTGTAATGAAAAAGATAAAACCATGTACTCTTGAGGAACTAGGAAGGTACTTAAAAAACCAAATTGCTGTTGTCCGTCATTTGGCTTTTAATCTCATATACGAAAATTTTACATGTAACACGAAGCTCAAAGACTCTAAACCTAGTCAAATAGAGGGAAGATAGGAAGAAAATTAAGTGCCCTATATGTACATTTTTACCCTGTGTCTATCTGCATTGGCAAGTCAAAATTTTGAGACACCACCAAAGCATGCATGAAGATATAATCAACCAAGCTCTTGTTTGAGATTCTGACTGGCTTCGTAGCTGGAAATACAGAAACTATTAGAATTATTCACAATCATGGTGCATAAGAACCCCAAATCTTGCAAGACTCACCACATAAAACGTCGTTCAGGCTCTCGTCAGCCTCCTTTTGAGTGACTTCAGTATTAACTGAAAGTCCACTATGATGTGCAACAATACTTTTAAAGGCAACAACTTTCTCAGCTTCTGTATGCAACAGTCAGGAACAACTTTTGGAACCTTAACTTACCATTAATTGAAAGAAACATAAGCTCTGATACATATTGACCAAAATTCCAAAGGATATGACTTCAATTCCTTAGTGAAAGCCTCCGTGAATGAACCCAGTGTCCACAACGTTCCATTTGGACCCTGCAATAGAATAGCATAGGAGAAAGATGCTATATGTCACAGGGGCGTTTTCTGTCTGCCGAAAATGCTGCCAGCTGTGCGGCAGTCAAGTCCCCACTTGACCTCAGCCTTACCCGATTTTCGTTCGCTTCCGAGGTTTAACACTTAGAATCAATTTAAGGCAACATGAATAAACAAAGGCAACACAGATTTACGGGAACTCTTTCCCAACCTTTTATAATAAATCAATTACAAAGGAAATTCTCGAGTTAGGCAAGGTGCTGCCACCTTTGGCAGGCACCAACTCACAAAAGTGGCCTACACTTGCACGAATCTGCCCTATAAAAGCCCCTACCTAAGGCCGCTCGTGCTGCCACTCGTTTGGCAAGGCAATGGCACATATTTTGCCATGCTCAAGCCATAAAATAGACAACCCTATGTCTATCTTTCAGACATTTTCCCTCCCTAGGTACTTAGCCCGTTTTTAAGGCTGCTAACACACATATATATAGTGTAGTCAGCCTAAAAGTGTTTCCTATATTCAGTTGACATCCCCCAACTGATAGGACATGATCCCCATGATCAAAACGTGTGGAACATGATAGAACATGCTCCAAAAACGTGCAAAGACTTAGCCATATAATCAGCAACTCCTGGACATGGGTAGTTGTAACCGCCAACTGCATCATGTGCACCACATGTGCGCATTTTCTTGGCCAGCTGCTACCCAATTTTGTGTCTAGTCTTGGATCGGCCCAATGCCATTATATCCAGCTGCATTGTGCCAAGCTCCAACGCCATTATAACCAGCTGTGTTGTGCTATAAATTTCCTTGACATCGCCACGAACTTGTTTGCCGCACGCTGCCTGCTGTCACAGTTGATTGTTCTTGTCAAGTCGCCCCTACTTGATCAAGTCCGCCCGTTGTCAATGCTGATTTTAGCATCAAGTCACCAAGCCTTGATGCCCTTCCCTTTGCCAAGTCGTTTG